TGCAGTTTACATGGACCCTATACTATAAACCATGCACACCCCCTCCATAAGTTTGGCAACTGGAAGTTATTATATGATAGCATATGAAAGTCTGTCAATTTTTAAACCTTGATTATGTTCCTTATTACCATATTTCAGATACTTCGATTTCATATGCCAAAAATAGAAAGGCTTTAATAAGTGATTCATGTTACGCGATAAACACGATACAAATATATGCCATATCCCGAAATGAATATGGCATATTCACTTGCGGTGTATGACAGATTCACCTGCGGTATATGGCATACACACTAACCAATGAGAATGTGATACAGAAGTAGGCAATTGTCAATTGCATCTACTGAACAAACAAGTAAAACTTTATAAATAATTATTATATAATGATTACAGAATCAACAGTACAGTGTATCGAATATATAAACTTATGCAGAAGTATCACTTACCAGTCTCACGTAATAAACTTACTCAATCAATCTAGGATTCATATATTACTACTTGACGCACTAACTTTATTGATTTCCAGCGTAGTTTAACATTTAGAGTCGATTCTCACAACCAATCAAATCAAGGCTTTCTGTATCACGTTTTCACCTGTGGTATATGTCATATTCACCTGCGGTATATGGCATATTCCGAAAGTGAGTATGACATATTCCGCAGGTGAGTATAGGGTATTCACTGAAATCGATATATTGCATATTTACTGCGGAATATGGCTTACTCACCTGTGGAATATGCCACATACCACAGGTCAGTATGGAATATTTACCCGTATCACAAATACCACGCAACCAGGAATGTATGCCATATTCCGTGTAACAATTCAAAGGGGTTCGAGTTGCCAAACTTATGATGGGAAGTGTTATCATTCATAAACATAAACCATAACTACATGAACAACATTAGGAAAGAATGACACCTGAAATACAATTTTGAAAATGTTATTAGTACACATACATGTATTTCCTATTGCTGACCACACATACCCTAAACAGTTTTATGGGGTATGGCAATGATAAGCTGTAAAAAATATAAAATGGTAGATAATGAAAATGTTAAGCATATTATGATGTCACGTATAGTGTTTAGATTTACTTAGAATAACAAATTCTGCTATAATGTAACACATTTTCTATTTGACCCTAGCAACAAGTTCCACAACTGAAGTGTAAGGTGCCACGCCCCCTTTCTTGAATTTTTAGGGGAAGGTAAAGAGAAAAATCAGAAAAAATAGATGGATGCACTTTTTATTGAAACTTTTGCAAGAAATATTTGCTAACATCATCAGTGAAGTTTTTAATCAGGTTTTATACACCATAGGCCCTTACTGTTTTTTAAATGACTGATTAACTATCGACTGATTAAGACATTTTGAAGAGAAATTATGTTCTTTTAGGGACAAATTTTCCCATATCTCTACCAAATTTTGTTGGATAAGACCCAAACTTTCAGGAATTCTTCATACATGCCTTATTGATATATTGACAATGTTTCATTATAATTGCAACATCCTGAAATGAGATATTAAATTTTTTCAAGCATATGGTCAAATTCCGACTCAAAAATAATAAAAGTTGCTGACTCAGCACTTTTGAGCCTGCTTTGCAAGGGTTCACAAACTTTTTTTTACATGCCTTGGGGTCCCCTACAAGAATCTAAAGTCAAATTGAATCTAGGTGTTTTGGACACAAATGGCCTTGGCCGTAGCACTATAGATGATTTAGAAAAAAATTGAAGTCAGTCTAAACAGTATTTGTTAAGTTATAGGAAGTTGTAAGAAATTGTTACAGACGCCGGACGCCGGACGCCAACCTCCAACCACCAACTGCCAACCACCAACTGCCGTCGCAAAAAAACGGAGACCATAACAATATGTCACCACTTTTGGTGGTGACATAATAAAAACCACTGTATTTATTGCCAGAAAGTACTCAAGGGCTTGAGCAAGCTATTGGTAGCACTTTTAGTCCCAAAGAGGTGGATTTTCAAACTTGCTAGAAGAAAACTTTTTCCTGAATCATAATTTTACTTAATGTCTTACCTTTCATTTTTTTTGACCCAGAGATAACTTTTTGCATCGATATTGGAAAAAATCAGGATGATATTATAAGCCCCAACTTTGGCTCTTCGGAAAGGACACACACATAATTGCAATTATTAAAGGGTATATATAAGTTTCATTATATGTTCCGCATATTTTGTTTTAAAGCATGCACATATATGGTTCTAAATAACTAATAGTTTTTATCTGAATCATTATCATAGAAATGAATTAGGAAGACCAGTCTCATAACTTGGCCTGTGATTTTGGAAAAAAATTTAATCATTTTTCCAATTACGATAATACTTAATAATGTTGAATATCCTGTTGATTTTTCCTTCTGTCTGAATCATTACAAAGTCCTTAATAATGTTTGTTTATATATGAGACAATCATGATAGTATATATGTGTACCATATGACGAAACTACACTTGTCCAAAGCTCTTCGGAAAGGACATTTTTTAGTTTATTGCTAAATACTGTTAAACAGATTGAATTTGTGGGAGCAATTTTTGGAGATTGTACATTTGTTTCTATTCGTGTATTCATGTTTTCGAGATTTACCACAGATTACAACATTATCTGCAATTTTTCATAGGTAATATGTGGGCGATAATAGGGCAAAACATCATTGAAGTCATCACTTTAAGGCTATCATGAATGTACTTGTAGTTCTTTAGCTGCTGGGCCAGGGAAACGTAGACCTATGAAACAGCTTTATGCAGAGAAATGACTCAATTACTCAGATGCGAGTAGGTAGTTACCAGTTTCGCCACCAGGTGGCTGAGTCGGGGGAATTAACATTGCAGGGTATTACAAAATTCCCTTAAACTTGAATATGCATCAGTTTTAGTGGTTCATTTTTCATATTACCTTTAAGTATCTGATAGTTATACAGATTAAAATATATCCAGTAAAAGAAAATATTATCTGCCCAACACAAGAAAAGATATTTCAATTTTTGTGGTTTTACAACATGGGGTCTACGGGGAATCTCCCCGACCTAGAAGTCACATTTTCAAAGAAAATTAAATTTTCAAAGTTGTTTAACTCTTTTCAAAACCACATTTCTAAATATAATTTTACTTGTAGATTCCAAATATGACATCAGTTTGCCCATGGTTTGACTGCATTGTGAATTTTTAATGATGTAAATCAAGATTATTTCTACTCGCATCTGGGATATTTTTGGTGGTAATTGTCAGTGAATTGAACTATTATCACAGGAGAAATAGTGATGAAGATACAATTTTATATTTGCGGCATTCTTCATTTGCAATTTTACACTTGAGTGTTTTAAAGGGTTTTACAGTACTGTCCAAATCAAGATTCAATGTAATATTTGTAAACATTGTGCCAATGCCTTTATACATCAGTAGAAAAGTTAGTTATACACATTCAATACAGCATGCCTAATCAGAGATTGGATTGCTCTTCGGAAAGGACATGGATTGCTCTTCGGAAAGGACACATTTACTTTTTTAGTTCCTGTTTAAGTCTTAGTTACTTCAGTAAAGATGTTTTATGTTTAAAAGTTCATCAGAAAATATAATCCAGTGTGTTTCTCTTTAATATTGTTGGTAAATGCACTGTTTAGACAGAGTTTGTCTTTTCCGAAGAGCTCTTCGGAAAGGACTTTTTTCTTGTGTCTGAATTTTAAAATTGATTTTACAGGTATATATGACAGTTCAAAGCCACTTATTTGTTTTGAATATTCAAGAAACTAAATGCATTTTGTTTTAAAATAGTTTTTAGTGTATCATATTACTTCAGTCTTAAAATACACATGCTCTTCGGAAAAGACATTTGCGTGTCGGAAAATCTGTTAGTTATTTTGAGAGCCAATATCTCAGGAACCACTCAACCTTTTCTATAATTTTTTTATTGACAGAATTTTAACAGTCAGTACTTTTGATATCATCTTAAAAAAACAGTAAGCAAAGATTGGAAAATTTGTTGAAAAATTCTGTCTTTTTTAACATAAAATTTACAATGAAATGTTACACCAATGGTTGTGTGCTACAAGCAGTTATAAAAACTCTATACACTATAATGGACACACTTGTTGCAAATCATTTTAAAGCAAATTCCTTAATCTTTCCAATGCAGCCAAATTACTTTAATTTACTCTATTCAAGTACATGCTTGAAGTATATATGTAAATGTGAATTTTTCTTGGGAATTTGTTACACAGAGAATAGGGCATATTTTGATACATGAATATTTATGAAAAATTATCATTCATCTTTCAAAAAATGATATCTTCCTCAGACATATAGTGGATATACCTAATTAATAAGACTGATTTCCCATCTGTATCTTAAGCCTTGCATTTTTTCTGGGTGCCAATATGAAAGTGCTACCAATAGCGTGCTCAAGCCCTCAAAGTAAAAGATGTGACCGTCTTAAATGACTTGCCATATTGCACATAGACCTTTGCTAATTACCGGTCAAAAGTTTTATCTCAACTATGTGTTTTTTTGGAATGGAAACAAATGGCATGCATAATTTAACATATTTCACTTCCAAAACTGCATTAAATCTGACAATATCATCACCTTATGCAAAAATAATACGACTTCAAAAATTATGGTACTAATATTCTTTGGTTTCATGTCGTGTCATGTCTCGCATTTACCAGCGCCATTTGAAATTGGTATGATCACTAATCAATAATCATAAGGTGATATTGGTAAAAAAGAATCTCAATTTGTGGAAATGGATTGAAATACAGATGAATTGTTATCAGATATCAGAATTCCCAGGGGTCTGTGATTATATTGAGGCCATTGGACATACCAAATGGGCAACATTTGATAACATTTGATGATCATTGTCAGCTAGTCTGACATCAAAGGAAAAAACACATGTAATATGCCTGAGTAAAAGGACTTCAGAGAATGCCTCAATTTGTTAAACTCTTAACTGTATGGACTGGAGTGGGGGTGTTCTTACCTGTTTAGGGCTGGTTATTGCAGAGAGGATGCTGTCCACATTGTGCCAGTTTACTTCAAGGTCATTAACATACATCAACCAGTCACCTATAGATAGGACACAAATGAAAACATTAATAAACTCATCACTGGATCAAAGCAGTTGCAATGAGAGACACATGCATGAACAAATACTTTTTTAAATCAGACCCAATTGGCCTGGCATATTATATGCATATCTAAATGGTAATGCCTCATTTTTATAATGTGAGAGACAATTACGTATATATTGACGATTTACAAATGTACATACATGGATTAAGTTAGTTTGGACCCACAGAGATACTCATACTCAAAGTTGAACAAGAATAGAGCAAACTGATCAAATGTACATGATCTCTTCAATACAACCTTACCTCTGAAGAATAGGAAATGTACAATACAAGCATTTATGAGCTACAGTAAATTAATCCTATAAATGGACTTTTGAAATTTCAAAAAAGTGTTACGCTTAAGAGGTGTTCCACTTACAGAGGTTCATTTCACATTAAGTTAATGGTTACTGTGAAATGTTCTCCACTATGGAGGTGTTCAACTTTCAGAGGTGTTCCACTTTACAGGTCTGACTGTTAGAGCTTTTTTGAATACGTCATTAACAGGTTTTACTGTACTCATTTTTTGAATACCTGTTTTTTTGAATACCTGTTAAGGTACAGCTGGAAAGTAACATTTTGGAAAAAAATTGCTATACCATCACATGTTATTTTCTGGTACAAAATAAAGTATGAAGACATGTGTCAATTGCCTTGCTTTTTTCAGGAAAGTATCATTACATTGTCTTCTTTAAGAATATCTAGTTGGAGTTCAATGGGAACTCCAGGAAACTCTGATATTTCACACTTTTTATTTTTCCAAATTTTCTTTCAAAGTTTTCAGACAACACAGGAGCTACCATTGACCTGTTTCCAGGTTTACTAAAAGTAGACAGTGTAATGATACTTTCCTGAAAAAAGCAAGGAAATACGCACATGCCTTCATACTTAATTTTGTACCAGAAAATAACATGTGCAGGTATAGCAATTTTTTACCAAAATGTTACTTTCCAGCTGAACCTTAAGTACAAGACCTTACCTATTTTAATTTGTCCAGACCGCATGGCCTCCCCTCCTGGAACCAGGCCCTGAACCAGGATTTTCAACTGTGGAGTTGGCCTAGCTGGGTGGGAACTACGGAGCACAAATTGGCCGGGAATAATTCCAAATAGTGCCTCACATAGTGACACTCCCCTTATCTCTCTGTATGGGTCAGCATAAACCAAAACATCTTTCACAGAATTATTTGGTTTTCCTGTTGGTCCAATGTTATTAAATATTTGATTGTTAAGTACATCTGCTGAACCTTTTTCAATTTTGTTTTTCCCAATCAGATTTTTCAGTTTATCAAGACCAGTCTTTTTCTTCAGTTTGTCAGATTCAGTTAAATGATTGTTTGATTGTGCCAGGTTGTTGTTATTGAGGTAAGGGGCAGGGTCATTGTGGTGAGGGGCCTCTAAATAGAAGAGTTCTCCTTTGCTGTCGACTTTGTCTGCCCAAACTGGCTCCAAACCACTGAAATTAAAAATTACACAATTTCAAATTTTGGAGACTCGAGCACCTAATGTTACATTTAATTGCACAATTATGATCTTACTGTGATGATGGCGAATTAACACTAGATTTAAGTTATTAATCTTTTAGCTGGAGTTTATGAACATAACATGCACTTATTTCTTAAAATTATAGACAAATCACTTCAAATCTACTTTTCTATAGAATACTTTTCATGTAGTCTCTCTAGTACAATGAGACCTGACAATGCATGTTATTGTAGCATTATTGTATGTCATCAAAACTTATGTGCCACATTTACCTGGCTAATGGTCATCAAGAGCACTCGAAACTCAAAACATCTTGTGTCAAAAATAATTTACTTTTCTATATTAAGGTGTGAGGTTCCATATCCATCTGCCAAAAGCTTTGACCTCTATAGAGTCTATTCAAAAACCTGTGATCTTATTCTAAATAACGCCTTAGTTGGCTTCTAGGGTACCTAGTTTGCCAATATTTGGTATCAAAATAAAAAATATTAAGGAACTTTTATTTTAACTACCAAAATAGTGATGTAGGTCAAAATAGTTCCAACGTCAGCATGTTTACTACGCGTGTGCCCATCACCTTAGAATTGAGCAAATGGCAGCAAACCCTGATATCTCAAAAAGTAACCTGACTCCCTATAATTTGATCTGGATTAATCGAACACCAATATGAACAGGTACATTTTGAATATATAACACTATGGGGGGGGGGTGGTTAAGCGTTTCATAGTTGGTCATGAATGCCATATGTGCGAAGTATTGTTCAGAATTTTCAAATTTCATGTTGGATTACAGTACACACACCTTAATAATCTGTAAAAATGATAAGCCCATTTAAAGTAAATATATAATGTAACGGTGATAGCATTTGAGTAGAGTATGATTCAAACCTTGACACTTAAAAATAGATCTATGGTTTGGTTTCAAGTTCAAACCATTTTAAAATTGGATGGAAACTTGAAAAGATACACTGGTAATGCCATAGGTTCAGGCAAGATTCTTTTGTAGTAGGATAGCAACAATAAATATTTCTCAAGATGAGACACCAAAGAAAAATTCAAATTTTAAAATGATTGTGTAGCTATTACAGAGATACATGTATATGAGATAAATCATGACATCATTATATTTTAACGGCGGGCTCTTGCCTGTCCAAATCAGAATGATACAAGAAATGTGATCTAGAAGAATATTCATTGAGCTACTGATCCTACTACAGAAGAATCTTGCCGCAATTTACAGTATGCCCACCACCAACCAATCATTGACAATCATGGGCATAGGGCTATATTTTGAGTTGGTACGCACACTCGGGGATGCTTTAAATGTTGACAATGGTAAAAATACAGATACGGTAGTAAGCATCAATAAATTCGCAAATAAATTAATGCTTTTTAACAAGTTTTTAATTTTTTTCAAATTCATTTGGTACGCCTGTGCGTATTTTGCGTAAATGACAATGACTGACTCTAGTGGATATGACTATGTATAGAAAATGCTTCAGATGTTTCTCTAACTAAAGTAGTAGATCTTTAAAGTAATTAATCTTTTATGAAGCTCAGTCAATGACAAACGAATGCAAGTGTTATCCTGGAGATGGATTGCAACTCACTCAGATTCATCATCGCTGTAAAAAGATCCAGAGCTTTCGGAATCATTCCTGTCGTCATTGTAGGCCCCACGCTCATCATAATATATTTTCCCGTTAGTCTGGCTATCGGGAATACGTAAGCGTTGGTTTTTTATAGAATCAATTTCCTCTCTTGGAAGATATCGAGCCATTTCCATACAAATTCAAATTATTTTCAAAAAACATTGGCCGCCATATTGTCAACAATATCCGGGACTTTGAGTGTTGGAGCGTCGTGTATTTGATTTTCATGAGGAGACGGGTGCAAACTATTTAGTCGTACACTTGTATGTTAAAAATGTATGGTTCTTGAAATGTGAAACATCATTTTGACAATTTTTTTTAATGATGTAGGCTTATGATTTTGACTGACAATAGTGTAACCTAGGCTACTGTTACACGACTGTTGATAAACTTCGGGATAAACTTTTCCTGTGACTTTTGAGCATGTTAAACCACAGATATTGGCCAGATCGTTTTGTAGTAGGATCTCATAAGCTCAAAGAATAATTCACAAGATACGACACTAAATTGGAAAATTTCAAAAAAATATGACCACCTTTCAAAAATGTCCTTATATAAAATGGTACCTGCTTCCCCATGACAGATTTTCCACTTATTTTATAGCTGAGATATTCATCTTTCTATTTCTACTTGTTTGGTTCGAGTAAATAACCTATGGATGCAGTTATTTGACTTTTAATACAGCGAATATTTTTCAAGAGATCCGGACTCTTGTGTGTCCAAATATCATTGTAATGATGACGTCACATTTCTGGAACCAAGGGAGCACCATTCAGATTTGGACAGACAAGAGTCCGGCGATAAATTATCACTGTTTTGGCCTCTTATCAACGCAGCATTGCTTGAATAACGGTCATTGATGATAAAAAAAGATAAAGAATAACAAGATGCTTCGAATGAGGTATGATTTGTCTCATATTTTTCAGAAATGGCTCCATAATCGTCATTTTAAAATTTGAAATTTTCTGAGGTGTCTCATCTTGAGGAATATTTATTGAGCTACTGATCCTACTACAAAAGAATCTGGCCGGGATCTATGTGTTAAACCATGGGCTTTCAACTAGACTAGAGTTGAAAGCCCATGGTTAAACGGCTGACTGAATCAAAGTTGCAACTACGGTTTGCGAGATATAATAGCATTCCAAATTACTAGAGTACAGTAGGCTTAATATGTAAACACAGGGAACCAAAACTTATTTTAAGAATTTCCTTAAAGATCATCTTTCTACGCAAATGCTTACTTGAAAATCACATGCAGGCCCGGGGGATTCTCTGTCTGGTTCAACCGTTACAATGTTACAAATTGTCACACGTTCTGTAACAACCAATGGCGTAGCGTCATATACGCAAAAAACGCCATTGCGTACTCTCAAATTTGAGAGAAGAATGATTTTTTATAATGAATTGCCCCGCACTTTAAAAATACTGGATAGATCTTAAATAGTAATATAATAGTAACAGTAACAATCATATATGAAAAACAAAATAAATGATTTGTTCTAATCCTGTGTTGTTTGTTTTTTAATTGTGTTGTAATAATCTAAATTTTCTCTCTGAAATACATATATTTTTGTACGACTGCGAGCTTCTTTACGTTCGTTAGCGTACGAGTTTGGGATGTTCGTACTTTTTGTGTAGACTAATAATTTACATTTAATTGGTCCAGATTAAGTCGGAATTTCGTATTTCAAACCGACCCAGGACGCTTCAAATGCAATCTCATTTTAAAATTTTCTTGGGGGAGAACCCCCCCCCCCAAACCCCCCTCGAACTCGTTCGCTTCGCTCACTCGTGGCGTACTCTCACAAAATACCCACGCTACGCCTCTGCAACACACATAATGTTAGATAATGTAACAGTGTCTGGTACAACCGGGACATTGTAAAAATTGTAACAAGTTTTGTAACAACAGATACAATGTTCAACAATGTAACAATGTCTGGTACAACCGTGACAATATTAAACACTGTAACACGATTTGTAACAACAGATACAATATTCAACAATGTAACAATGTCTGGTACAACCGTGACAATGTTAAATTTATAATGTAACAATATTAGTAGCAATGTCTGGTGCAACCGTGACAATGTTAAATAATGTAACAATGTCACAACGCTAAATAGTGTAACACTGTCAGTAATTACCTTGACAATGTCGAAAAATATGTCTAATAATGTAACATAGTCTGCTTGATAATGTTAAATAATGTAACACTATCTTTTCTACAATATCGGCAAAAAGTAACACTGGTTGTTACATTTGTGGCAATAGTAAAGAGTGTAACGCTGTCGGTAACAACTGCAACAATGTTACATGATGTTACATTAGTAAATAGCTACCGGTTGTGCCAGAAAATTATAACGTGCCACGATTGCGCCAGATTCATGCAGCACCACTGTCGTACAAGACCGAATCCTGCGTTTGATCGTGTCTTGAAGAATGGCCAAGGTTTAATGTGCAAAAAGGGTAGACATTCAATTTTTGGAACCCGAAGTGTATACTTGATTAAGATACCCCCGTATCGGTTTTTTACAGTTTCTTTTCAAACCCTGCTCCGAGACTACGTATGCATGGTTGGGGGACCGGTCTTTTCCATACATCCTCTGGAAGGTACATGCCCCCTCCAAAAATGTTAATCTGGATCGGCGCAGTTCTCAAATGTCTAAAGGTACATTTTTGCCTTACTGATATTTTGCCGGTAGCCGACAGCCGTTATTTGCATTCGCGAATAAAAGCTAAACCATTGGTGATAACATTTCGACTGCCTTATCTGTTCTGTCGAAAACGTTCATGTAGGCTATAAATGCAACAATTTCGCCCCTCCCGTGGCTTATCGAAATACATTTGTATTTGGAAAACTGGAACCAGACCACGTGTACCATTCAATTTTATAGAACAAGGCGACAAAATGTCACCAGCGTTACAGACGCCGAACCCCGAACGTCGAACACTGTCCACAAAAAAAATTGGAAAATATAGGGCTATCTTGTGCGACTTGTGCCAATGCCATCAAAGGTTCTGTAGAGATGGTCTTGGTACTACATAAAACAATATGTCATGGCTGATGGTGGTGACATAGTAGTTGTAAGCCTATCATACCTGTACTTTACTATCAAACTAATGCTATCAAAGTCTTGTAAAGCAGCTTGTGTGGCGTAAGCAGTGCCTTTCAATCCATACAAGCCGGTCTCCAAATTGCTATACACAACCTCATCAGTGCCATCCACCAGTGTTGATCCGTAATCATCAAATTCACTTTCAGTGAGCGTTTTGTCAGTTATCGTTTCTCGATCATAGTCAATGTTATTGTATAAATGACCGGTGCTTAGTTCTGGCATTGTTGCGACTCTCGCTTACGTAATCGATACTTGGATGTTCCTCTTTGATAACTAAACACTAATCACAATGACCTGTTTGAGTGTATGTTATTCAATGTAAGCCATTAGTTAGGACTAATAAAAAATTAAAGTGTTCATCATGTTATCCAGACATAATCCTTTTTATGCGTCTTTTATTGCAGTAAAATACTCAATTAACACGGAGTCAAAGCTGAGATGTTCACACTTGATCAGACTGACGAATAGAAGTCGATGTAAGGCTTCGTTATAGAACTTATAAAAAGTAAGTCCTCATTGTGAGATTCAGAAATAATCTCATTTATGCGTGTATTATGTCAAATTGTACGATTTTAGATCTGCGGGTCTCATTCACCTGTCTACCTTGATAGTTTCCACCACAGCTGCGTCTACATACGTTTAGATTGTTATTGTCCTGTTGATGAAAATGGTGACATGATGCGCAAAATGCGTATACGGCCTTAGAAAGTGCGTCGAAATACCAAAGTCCTTCAAAGCTATGATATCACGTTTGTTTTGATATGACAGTTTTTATTCAGCCATTGTAAATACTTTTTAAGTTACTTAGCAACACTACACCAAATTATCATAACAGTTTATTCAAACGAAAATGAAAAATTATACGAAAACACTCCAGAAAGTATATATCTATTCATATAAAAACATGTTTAAGTATGTAAACATATTGAATAGAACAGCTATCATTTTCAATTCAATGTCATGAATGGCGACTGCATAAAGTTTAAATGAACCATGGAAGACTGCATTAAGTGTATTCCCTCTAATCAGATGTCTAAATTGTTTAATCAGTTGATCTAACACCTATAACGAGACATATTCCATTAAATTAATTAATATAGTTAAACCAGTATTCATTTAACCAGTAATTTATTCATTTAGTTGATATAGGGCAATCCACTATTGTCACACAAATAGTCAAGGAGGATTGGCTCCCAGTATCGAAACTCGATATTTTGCAACAATAAAAATGTCTAAATGTAGTTATTTTCTGAAATTACAAGCGACTGTAAATTCAAGATAAACAGTCCAAAAGATTCGAACCAATATATCGATCATTTTTTGTGAGTTTTGGTTTGGAAATAGGAGCAAATTTCACGATTCGAATGTTGGATCGAACAAAAAGGCGGCTGTTTGCATTCGAATTTTGTAATCACGACATGCCCATATATGGCAAAAATATCGATGATGCACTCTGGGAGCCAATCCTCCTTGACTAATAGTGAAGCTAAACCGTGACTGCGCTGAAAATGTTTCGGATTAGCAATAGCATACCTTCAATTAAAGTGGTATCGTAACCAATCAACGTCCATTTAGCGATCGATGTCATTATACATCATAATCCAAAATTATTCTTTTGTTGAATCTAACAGAAACGGAAATTAAAATTGACTTTTAATGGCTATATTATGCTAGATATGGTGAACCAAGACGAAACCCGCACCCCTTTGTCTTATACTCTCCAAAGTGTCGCAAACGACAGATATGATAAGAGGGGTCAGCTGGTAAAAGTAATTTCGACCTTATCGGTAGCCATGCAAATTGAATACGCAAATCCGATTTGGTTAGTCTGTCTGGCTCGAAAATTATAGTCATATAATGATATATCTAGCTCTAAAAGCATAGGCCAAGGGAAAAGTAATAGTAAGCTGTATATAGAAGAGACAGGTTCACAAGTAAGATTGAAAATCTTTCAAATTTTTTTAGTCTTGGCACTAGTTCTCCTTACTGGTATCAAATTGTATTCCCAAATCTCTCCAAAATCTTCTTCAAAGTGTTTTTCAAACTTATATCATTGTTTTTTTCAAATCTTTATCTTAAAACTGCATATAATACTGCATATAAAACAACAGCTATGGGTATCTGCAATTGCCTGGCAAGCTGAAACTGATTGTCAGTGGTGGAGGTCAGCAGTGACCAATCAGATCACTTGTTTACTAATGAACTTGCCAAGCAATTGCAGGTTTTCAGAAATTCTCTCTTTTAGACAGCATTATTCACTCTAGTCTATATCACTGAGTTTCAATCTTAGGTAAGAGCTACAAACTATCAATTTTCTATCAACTCCCCATGGCTTTTTGAAAATAATACACTAAATATTGTTGAAATCTCCATCTTAACAAGTGGTCTAAGTCAGAGTTGTTCACCTGTCTCTTCTATATACGGCTTACTATTACTTTACCCTTGGCCTATGTCTAAAAGGATGTGCAATGAGAAAAATAAAAAATAAATAGAGTACATTATTGACATTAAAATTTGGACATTTGGGAAGTTGAAATAAAAAGAAATAAGTCAAGGAGATTTTTACGTAAGTCTTATGAAGGTGTTCATTGTATTTGGTAAAATCTAGCGCCGCCCTGGCTATGGTTCGAAAGTGTTGGGGAGGGTTGGGGTTCCAGGTGAGGGGGCTTTTTGACAGTTTTGGCTAAAAAAGATACGAACAGCGCTCAGAATGGTGAAAAACTGCATGATTTTGATGTTGTTTTAATATAAGTGTATACATTTTAAATGTTTTTGAACATCTCAAAGTAGTACGTTACAATGGGCTCCCATCTGTCACGTATATAATAGTGTAAGCAAATATATTAAATAAACAAATAAAACCACAAACTACGCAAATTAATGTGTTTACAATTTTCTTTACATTATGCTTTTCGTTTTAAATGTGATATTTTCTTTAATAACTTAATATGGGATATTGTTAAATTATTTTATTGGTTGGATTTGAATACAATACAAACATTCTAAAAATATTTAGATATTTCATAAATTCTATTGTGTCTATTTTTGATCAATCGTTCCGAATTATTAGAAAATGATACAGAAGTTTCAGACAAGCCTTAAGAATTTATATAAAATTGGAGAGCTTTTTTACAATCAAAATATCATGGCTCAGAATTCCATTAAAAACATTTTTCTATCACACAAACCCTCTACCGAATCTCAAGCACTCTTCTAATTCAATGGGCCTAATTTTTTTGTGAAATGGGGTCTGGGGTTAAATGTACACGCTTTTACTCACGATTACAAATGACTAACATATCGTAATCCTGAATCCTAGACGTTCGTTATTCAGTCATTCGGACCAAAATACTGAACTATAATAATTTTGGATTTTCTTTACAAATGCAATTTTTGCCCTGAATCTGATAGTTAACCCACTTTTATGAAAACATCAATTTTTTCGTGAGCATTGCAGGTTCTATAGTGAAAAAACTGCCTGCACCATTAAGTGCAAATTCGATTTCAAGCTAAATGATTATTTGTAGAAAAGAAGGTTACTTTAGTGTCCTAGTTTATTGATTGTCATATGTTTAGGGTGAGAAAGTAAAGGTTTCATAACTCATACATCAATTGATTATAAGATATCATATAAGTGCAGGGGTGGTCCCGGGAATTAAGAGGGGAAGGGAGGGATACAAAAATTGAATTGGAAAATCGAAAAAATCAAAAATGGTCCAAATTCTGAAATTTTCAATAAAATTACTAATGATTGGAAGTTTTAAATAATTATAATGGATCGCAACATGCAGCACTGGAAGCAGGTTATTGTTTGATCACATCATGAATAGGCCTATAAGAGATGATCCTGTATTCGTATTTTGTAAACAACACATGCAGACCCGTAGCCAGGATTTGCCAAGAGAGGTGGTTAACTTTTTAAAAAATTCCAAGGGGGGTCAGCTTGGATAATTTGACCCAAAAATGGCCAAAATCTCACTTAAAAAGTGCTCAGAATGGTGAAAAAATTATTTTGAAATAATTTTTGGCCAGTTGGGTGGGGGCACGCATGCGGGCCTGCATTCACATCGCAAGGACAAAACCATGGTCCTGAATTTAAGGCAAGGCAAAATTAATAGATAAAGGCTGAATTAACTATATTAGAACTTTTTGAAAAAATGAAAAACTAGTTGAGTTTAAGTTTCATTTAAAATTCTGAACTAACTCCGTCTGCATATTGATGAACTTTAAAGTTTAAACGATGGGCTCTCAACGATAATAAGCTCCATCTAGTGGGCTGTATAACCGGGGCCATATAGGAGGGTCCCCAGCTCCCGACCCCGACAAACCTCCTATGCAGCCCGCATGTCAAACAAAATTAATCCACTCTCATTTGAAAAATTCAAGCCCAAACAGAGGGACAAACTTACCTGCTTCCTGATACAATTGTTCTAAGTGTGTCGAACTCTTCAAATGATAAACAATGCTTATATAAGCTCCTCTCCGGTAAAGAAAACATGTTTATATATACTTAAAGGTCAATAAGGTGCCAAACGTCGTTCCTGATTATATATCCATTTTATTCAGTTCGTTATGCCATTGATTGTATCAAATTACGGTACATAAATATTTCAGTACATTCTTTTTAGACAACAAATAGATTCTTCTTTAGGTGTTCTAGTTTCGATCGTACTATTGAACATATTTGCCACTAGGTTTCCCCATGTTTAATTCCGGATTCCTGTAGAATCCTGCTTTTTCAAAAGTGTATCGAACGCTTGCCCTTGCATGTAAAAAGCAAATATATTATTCGATTATCGAATACCTGAAAAAATGCAAGGGCAAATGTATAAATATCGAAATGTTTGTTTATTCATGCTGCCGCTCTGCAAACATATTTTTTATTTTATTTTTTATCACGATAAACTGTGAACGGAGCATAACATTCAATGTACCATTCGATATTACTATATGCGGAGGAGACCTCAATTGCATAAATTAATGTCACGTATTTGTTGTAAGTATTTTCATACAGTTTAGGTAATCGATCCGTACCAATTTCGTTAATAGCTGATTTGCATGGGAGATCTATAAACCGTTCATGATCATTGGAGATAGCATGGTCGTAAGTCATACACAGTAGGATATAGAGATTGTGGCGTGCAGTCTTGAATTCGAACCTGATGACATTTACCTAGTTAGTTTATTGTCCAGTCGATGTATGTTTAGCTTAAACTTCTCAA